TGATTGACATTTAAGTCTTAGATGCATAATTTTTTTATTATTTGTTATTGGCTTTGAACTAGCTGTCAGTAACTGTTAGTACTCTCAGATCTGTACTTAGTGTCTTTTTGTTGTGGGGATGTACATGTATAAGTACCCTCCGACGTCCACTCTGTACTTTTGTTAGGTGTATTTCTATTTGTACCCATCTGATGAGTTAAGCCTTTCCAACTGAATTTTATAGTTTGTTCTTATGTTGTATAGTTACATCACTGTCCCAGGTTAAGGGGAGAGTTGGCGCCTTCAAACCAGTTTAACCCCGCCACATTCTGTATGTGCCTGTCCCAAGTCAGGAGCCCAAGTCAGTGGTTGTCGTTTGTTGCTGTGTATTAATGTTGTGACCTAATTAAAAACTAACGAATATTATGTCGCAATTATTGAATTTTTTTTTATGTCAACAGGCTTTCGTAATCTCAAGAAAATCTTTATAATATATTTGTAAAATGTTTGCTTTTAATTTTAATCGTCAGGAAAATATTTAATGATAAATATCCTTTATTCTTCTAAATGAGTAGCAATTAAATTCTGTAAAATTTAGAAGGTAAACGTTTTGAAAATAAGACAGTCTTAAGTAAACCATTAGCAATGATAATAAGTTATAGGTGTTCATAGAAGGTAAAAGTTTGGAAAATAAGACAGTCATAAGTAAACCATTAGTAATGATAATAAGTTATAGGTGTTCATAGAAGGTAAAAGTTTGGAAAAATAAGACAGTCATAAGTAAACCATTAGTAATGATAATAAGTTATAGGTGTTCATAGAAGGTAAACGTTCGGAAAATAAGACAGTATAAGTAAACCATTAGTAATGATAATAAGCAGAACAATGTCAATTATAGACATCGTACTATAACAGCTGGTAGTTTTCTCGTGTCAATTATAGACATCGTACTATAACAGCTGGTAGTTTTTCTCGTGTCAATTATAGACATCGTACTATAACAGCTGGTAGCTTCTCGTGTCAATTATAGACATTGTACTATAACAGCTGGTAGTTTTCTCGTGTCAATTATAGACATCGTACTATAACAGCTGGTAGTTTTCTCGTGTCAATTATAGACATCGTACTATAACAGCTGGTAGTTTTCTCGTGTCAATTATAGACATCGTACTATAACAGCTGGTAGTTTTCTCGTGTCAATTTGAAAGACTTTAACATATAACTAGAGCAGCTATCATTTGAAGCTGTTTTCTACGTGTGGAATAAGTTAGTACCTTAGCTGTAATTGGCAAAACATTTCGGAATTTCGGGTCCTCAGTTATCTTCAAACTTGTACTTTATTTTGCCTTTTTAACTTTTTTATTCGAGCGTCACTAGTGAGCCTTTCGTAGACGAAAAGTGCTTCTGGCGTATAAATGTTAATCCTGGTATCTATGAAGAGTTTATTCAATATAATTTTAAGATATTTTTTTATCTTTGGGTGCAATCAATATATTTCCGAAGAACATACTTCTTCAAAGTTTATTGAAAAGAAAAAAACAATTTTGGCTACAACTGGTGCGGTCTGCAAGAAATATTCAATAGAAAAATGTTTGTTTTATTAGCTATTAATAAATAGAGATGTCATGAAGTATAATAGAAGATATCGACCCTACGAGATTTCGAGGGAAACATACAATTATCAACAAAGAACATTTCTCTATTAGTTTATATAACTAGAGGCTCTCAAGAGCCTGTGTCGCTCACCTGATTCTACTTTGGTTTTGGAAATCATGTAAAAATAGATTAAAATCATAACAGATACCCTAATAATGATTGAGGCCAAATTTGGTTTAATATTGGCCCCGCAATTTAATAAAAAATCCTGGTGGCCATCTTGAACAGTAAATCGGCAACAAATTAGCAACATTTCATGCACCTCATAAGGAACATTTATGCCATGTTTGGTTTCATTCCATTCAGTGCTCCTCTAAAAGAAGCATTTCTATGTATTTCCCATAGTGTCTTATGTTAAACTAAGTCCCCTGTTGGCAGTTATCTTGGATGATGGTTCGGCTACAAAGTAACAACATTTGGTCAGCACCTCATTAGGAACATTCATGCCATGTTTGGTTTCATTTTATTCAGTGGTTCTCTAGAAGAAAACATTTGTATGTATTTCCCATAGGGTCCTATGTTAAACTTACTCCTTCTGCTGGCAGCCATCTTGGATGACAAATCAGCTACAAAGTAACAACACTTGTTCAGCACATCTGAAGAAACATTCATACCATGTTTGGTTTCAATCCATTAAGCAGTTTTCTAGAAGAAGACATTTGTATATATATTTCCTATAGGGTCCCTTGTTAAAAACTAAGTCTCCCGTTGGCAGCCATATTGGTTGATGGATTTGTTACAAAGTAACAACACTTGGTCATCACCTCATAAGGAACATTCATGCCATGATTTATTTCATTCCATTCAGTGGTTCTTCAAAATAATACTTTTGTACGTATTTCACATAGGGTCCTTTGTTAGACTACGTTCCCCGCTGGCAGCCATCTTGGATGCTTGATTGGCTACAAAGTAACAACACTTGGTCAGCACCTCATAAGGAACATTCATGCCATGTATGGTTTCATTCCATTCAGTGGTTCTCTAAAAGAAGACATTTGTATGTAATGTCCATAGTGTTCTTTGTTAAACTAAGTTCCCCGCTGGCAGCCATATTGGATGATTTACTGGCTACAAAGTAACAACACTTGGTCAGCACCTCATACGGAACAGTCATGCCATGTATGGTTTCATTCCATTAAGTGGTTCTCTAAAAGAAAACATTTAGATATAGGAAGATGTGGTATGAGTGCCAATGACATGAATGAGACAACTCTCCATCCAAGTTACAATTTATAAAAGTAAACCATTATAGGTCAAGGTACGGCCTTCAACACGGAGCATTGGCTCACACCGAACAGCAAGCTTTAAAGGGTTGTATGTATTTTCCATAGGGTCCTATGTTTAAATAAGTCCCTCTCTGGTGGTCATCTTGGATGATGGATCGGCTTCAAAGTAACAGCACTTGGTCAGCACCTCATAAGGAACATTCATACCATGTTTGGTTTCATTCCATTTAGTGGTTCTCTAAAAAAAGACATTTGTATGTATTGTCCATAGGGTCCTATGTTAATCAAAGTCCCCCACTGGCTGCCATCTTGGATGATTAATCGCCTACAAAGTTACAACACTTGGTAAGCACCTCATAAGGAACATTCATGCCATGTTTTATTTCATTCCATGTAGTGGTTCTCTAAAAGAAGACATTTCTTATAGGGTCCTACGTTAAACTAAGTCCCCCTCTGGCGGCCATCTTGGACAATAGATCGGCTTCAAAATAACAACACTTGGTCAACACCTCATAGGGAACATTCATGCCATGTTTGGTTTCATTCCATTCAGTGGTTCTCTAAAAGAAAACATTTGTATGTAATGTCCATATGGTTCTTTGTTAAACTAAGTTTCCCGCTGTCAGCCATCTTGGATGATTTATTGGCTACAAAGTAACAACACTTGGCCAGCACCTCATAGGGAACATTCATGCCATGTATGGTTCCATTCCATTAAGTGGTTCTCTAAAAGAAAACATTTAGATATAGGAAGATGTGGTATGAGTGCCAATGAGACAACTCTCCATCCAAGTTACAATTTATAAAAGTAAACCATTATAGGTCAAGGTACGGCCTTCAACACGGAGCATTAGCTCACAACGAACAGCAAGCTATAAAGGGTTGTATGTATTTCCCATAGGGTCCTATGTTAAACTAAGTCCCTCTCTGGCGGCCATCTTGGATGATGGATCGGCTTTAAAGTAACAGCACTTGGTCAGCACCTCATAAGGAACATTCATGCCATGTTTGGTTTCATTCCATTCAGTGGTTCTCTAAAAGAAGACATTTGTATGTATTGTCCATAGGGTCTTATGTTAAACGAAGTCCCCCGCTGGCAGCCATCTTGGATGATGGATCGGCTACAAAGTAACAACACTTGGTCAGCACCTCATAAGGAACATTCATGCCATGTTTGGTTTTATTCCATTGAGTGGTTCTCTAGAAGAAGTTCAAAATGTAAAAAGTTAACGACGACGGACGACGGACGCCAAGTGATGAGAAAAGGTCACTTGGACCTTCGGGCCAGGTGAGCTAAAAATAAGAAGATGTGGTATACTTGCCAATGAGACAACTTTCCATAAGAGACCAAATGACACAGAAATTAACAACTATACGGAACCGTAGTTTGTCTATTTTAGAATATTTATATACGTTTTTTTCTTATTAGATATAACCTACTTTTGAGTTTAGCACAAACTTATATCTTGGACCCTACTCCTTTAAGACAGGACAGTTTAAATTCATATATTTGAAAATTAATGATATGATCTCAAAGTATGTATGACTTTAAAACAAACGTTAGAAAACTAAATTGAATGGAATAGGGAAACTGTCCCCTTGCTTTACATGCATCACCCATCATACGATTTCTGAGTCACATCTAGTTACAACAGTAAGTTTTTGTAGTCACTTCAGAGAATTTTGTGTTCTTAAGGATGTACTTAGGTGAAATTAAAAAAATCTAGAAGTTAAAATTGATACTGTAAGTCAGAAGAGCATTAGTTAAGGAACAAAATAAGCTAAAAATATTGATAGGTTATGGAGCTCCTTTTCGAGATATTTAAATTTTTTTTAAAATGGGGACTTTTACCTTATATTTGCATTGGTCTCAATCGAAAGAAAAGAAATCTAGAATCTGCTTGAATTTTGGTAAATGACCTTATATGAGCTATGAAGTCTTATATGAAAGTGTTATAGCAAAATATTTTACCCTGTATTGAAGGAAAAATACCAAGGAGTCCGAACATCTGACACAAATTCCTGAACCTGACCTAAGTACAATCCTTAAGACTGCTACAACACAACTTAATGTTATGTCATTACATATACAAGGTCAGGCTATCTAGATCCTGTGGACCATGTCAGGCTATCTAGATCATGAGGACCAGGTCAGGCTATCTAGATCCTGTGAACCAGGTCAGGCTATCTAGATCCTGTAGACCAGGTCAGGCTATCTAGGTCCTGTGGACCAGGACAGACTATCTAGATCCTGTGTTTTCCGTTGTTTTTTTCTTTACTTGGTTTGTATATCAATCTGTGTATATTTTTCCGGAAGAGTCGGGTGTTGGTAGATTTGACGATATTTTCGGCTATTCCTGTTATCCGTTATACATATATCCCGATTCCAAATAAAAATTACTTATCAGCAATAAAAAGTGTTTTTTTTTTACATTTAAGGTAGTCGTCAAGATGGCAGAAAATACAACATCGAGTGCCAACATCGAAGACGAAGACTTCGTGGCGTCAGATGGACTTTTGATCTTTGCTGGTTTTATCATAATATTTATGATATTACAGGAACACATTAACAATATTTTCTTATATACGAGACAAACATTTACGTACGGCCTATAACTTATATCTTATCAATTTAGCAATAGCAGATTTAACAATAGCAGCTGTAAGCATGACGGTCTATCTAACGTACACACTGAGGAAAAATACCTGGGTGTATGGTTACCATGTGTGCAAAGTTTATCTTGTCCTCGATTTTCTTGCTTGTACTGTTACAGTTATACTAATGAATGTTATCAGCTATGACAGATTGATGCTTCTAAAACAGGGTGCCGCCTACTATGTTGAACAAAATGTTAAGAAAGCCATTTTCAAAATGTTTGCGTCATGGATTATTGGTTTCTTACTATACGGACCTGCTATAATTGGTTGGGATCACTGGACTGGAGAAGATGTAGTTGAACCAGATGATTGTGACGTACAATTTGTCAACAATACTGCGTATACAACTACGACAGCGGTGGTTGAATTTTTCCTGCCGCTTACGTCCCTTGGCGTGTTGAATATATTGGTAATAATAGAGATCCGAAAATTACGTCATAACAAAGTTCATACAATGCAAATATCGACCGTTCAGAGCCATGGTTCAGAGACTGTTCAAAATGAAAGCTTTAATAAGAAAGAAAAGGCTAAACAAAAGTCAACAAAAAAAGCAACAAAAGCGGCCAGGTCCCTTGCAATACTTGTTCTCGCTTTTTTCCTTACATGGGCACCTTATACAATACTGACTGTTGTGATATCATTTTGTGATGGTTGTGTTATTATCCCGGTTTATGAAGCTTTTACATGGTTTCTTTGGTTTAAATCTGCATTGAATCCGTTTCTGTATGCATTTAGCAGCGCTCGATTTCGAGAAAATTTCTTATATTTCCTATGTTGCGGCAAACGACATTTCCGGCAAGTTAAATGACATATTAACTGTACGTTTTAAGTACAGTTGCAAAATCAAGTTGTTATCAGATATGGTTATTATCAAGTCATTTATTATTATAAAATTTTAATTTCAAATGACTTTCATTTTTATTTACGAGTTTGAATATCCCTTTGGTATCGTTCGCCTCTCCTTTGTACCTGGCTTAAAAAAATAAGGTTGACAATTTGATAAATTTGTCCACTTTTCACATGTATGTACTCGTAAAATTACCTTGAGACCTGAAGAAAAAAAACAGAAATTGAATGTGTTACATACAATGTAAAGCCCCCGTCAAGCTAGGTTCACACTGCCGATCATATCAACTCGATCAAGCCCGATAAAGACAGATTAACCGATTGGGAGACTGGTCTGACTCGTTCGACAAGAATGTTCGGGGTGGTCTAACTTGCTCGTCATCGCTCTGACTTTCTAACCGACATTTTTTGACATGTCAAAAAAGTTCGAGAAGGGGTCAAGAAGCCAATCACTCGAGAAGAGATCGGGAATTCGTCGAGTAGCGGTCGAATTGATCGGGAAAAGATCGTGTAGAGATCGAGTTTGGTCGGAATACAAATATTTAACCGATCAGTAATCGACCATCTCGACCTTAAAAAAAAAGTTTTCTCGACTTATATCTGATTGCTTCCCGACCAACGCCATCATGTTTCATCTGTTGTTCAGATTAACTCGACCAATGACCGATCGTTTCCCGATCGCTTCCCGATCACTGCTACTACTATTGTTTTTGATCCCAGACCAACTCGACCAATATCCGATCTCTACTCGACCAAATTCGACCACTTTTCGATCTCTACTTGGTCATACACGAGTTCACATGACTGCTTCAAGATTCTATAAAAAGGTGTGCAGATCTGATAAACTCTCATAACTTGCTGGTGCTCCGGAAGGGTAAGCAGATCCTGTACTACACGTTGCTCCCGTCATATTGCTAAACATAGGTACAAATCTGGTGACAAGTCTCATTTGGTGGTGTCATTCTCAATAAGAGAGGATTAAATTTTATAAAAAAGAAAATAAAATCGGTTCAAATTATTATTATTATTATTATTATTGATATTTTAAGTATTTCCTTAACTATAAGGATCTCCTAATGAACGTGCAATCAAGAAACTACTTTTTTTTTTTAAACGCAGAACAAAGGCAAAACATATACCAAAGCTAAAGTTAAACTTTAAACAAAACAAAACATAAATACCTTTATTTTAAAACAATCTAGGCAATTTTATTACACATGAGAACAAGATGTCATACTAAAATATCTACTTCGGCGGTTTCATGGTGAAACTACAAGTAACTGTATAATTACACTGCTGAACTTAATAAATACTCTATTGCCACTCAACTGATTCAGAACCTGCTGGTGAATCGAAATAGTGCTTAAAAGAGAGACGAAAGATACAAACTCATAGTCGAAATAAACTGACAACGCCATGGCTAAAAACAGAAACAGACAAACAGACAAACAGCAGTACACAAAACACAACATAGAAAACTAAACATGCTAAAGACTGAATAACACGAACCCCACCAAAAACATGGGATGAAACTTAGGATAGTATCTAAGACGGACCCCAGTGGATGTCACAGCATTCCTTCCACGGATATGATCAATACTTGCCATCTGCCTTCCCTGACGCCATTCACCAGAATGTAGTTGATTGTGAATGATGGAATCAATGGTCTCTGGGGACTGATTCAAGCAGCCAAGCAGGCCTTGAAACCGCATGGCAAGGATACCTAATACGTTTTACACCACTCGCCTTGCACGGGAAAGTCTGTACTGTAAAAATAAACACTGGGTGATTATACAAAATGTATTCAAATGCAAGACTATCGCAAATTAATAACAATAAAACAATTGAAATTCCGTTGTTATATCAAATTAAGAGAATTCCTTCTCTTTTGCATTTTATCAGTACTGGTAGAGACTAAAAAGGGAATGTCATGATGAAAAATTCTTTTAAAAAAAAATATGAAAAATTGATCTACTGAATGATAACCAAAATAAATGAATGTGTCCATGGGACACAGATGATGCCTCGCTTGCAAATAACGTTATAAAGGGACATAACTCAAGAGCGATAAAAGTGACGCAACCCAAATTCTAACTTGATCTGAGTTTTCTTGTAATAAGCATTGTATATAAGTTTCATACCATTTGGTTGAGGCAAACTTAAGATAGAGAACGGAAACGGAAAATTCAGCACATTTTTTCCATTTGTAAAAGGTACAAATCGAGATCTAGAACGGTAAAAGTGTCGCCACCCAAATTCAAACTTGATCTGTGCGTTGTAGTAATAAGCATTGTGTATAAGTTTCATAACATTTGGTTGAGGTAAACTAAAGTTAGAGAACGGAAACCAATTTCGGGACGTGCGTACGGACGTACAGACGGACAAAGGTAACACTTCATGTCTCCTCCGCTGCGGCGGGGGCAAAACACTCAGAATGAAATTAAACACCCGACCAATTGCCGTCTATCCCTACGACCCCTATACGATCAGGTCGATCTGGTTTGGTCGAAATCGGGATGAGATCGAGTATAGTTGATTTAGTCTAGCTGGTCGAATATAGATCGTGTAGAGATCGTGATTTGGTCGGGATCATCGAATAGATATTCAATTAGTGGTCGGGTTTCAGTCGTGTAGAAGTCGTCAAGGAGTCGTAAATGGTCGAGTTATAGTCGTGTACGGTCTGATAGCGGTCGGATAGAAATCGTATACGCCGGATCAAGAATTTAGTTACGCTTGGTCGTGGAAATTTGGGCAATCGGGATCATCGAGTTAATCTGATCGGCAGTGTGAACCTAGCTTCACACTAGACCAAGACCATGAAGATCCCACTACGATCTATAAAACAAAATAAGATCGTGGTGAAATCGTGGTATGGTCGGCTTAATTATTCAATATTTCATAGTTTTCACGTTTATACCACGACCTTGCTACGATCCTGATAAGATCCTGCTACGATTTCGCTACGATAGTAACACGCTCTTGCTATATCTAACAAGACCTAACCACGACTTACACGATCTCTATACGCTTCTACCAAGACCGTCCCGATCTCAATACGAGTCTACTACGATCGAACCACGACTCCACTACGTTTCTACGACGCAGACTACACATTTTTATGGATAGATGTAGGAGGATATGGCGTCCGAAATAGAACCATATCATCCTACATCTATCCATAAAAATGTGTAGTCTGCATCCACCAAGGGAAGGAGAACTAATGAAAAAAAACCTTTATAGTAATGAAACAAGGATCCGCTTTTAGGCGGCCTTCTAATAGCAACATACTTTCTATCGAGTGCGCCACAAGCGTGTGGCACGTTCCATCTTCTCTGAAAGTCTTCGGCAATAGCCCACCATTCATCTGGTTCTAAGATATGACTTTATCTTTAGATTTCTGTAATATTGCCTGTCAAACCTCAGGAATAAAAGTACTTATAGTATTGCGCGCGACCCTGAAATCGTACTGAAGGGTTGAATACCTATCGCTAGAAGCTAAGTGCTTTAAGATAATAGCAACTTTCACACCGGGATATTGTGCCTTTCTGAATCGGGTGTCTATCTTCTGAATTCGAGGACTTACTCTGTTCAAAAGTTCATCAAACATTTCTGGAGGCATCCTTGAAAAATCAAAGAATGATTGTTGATCCTCCATTCTTAATTCTTTCAGAAGTCGGTCGTTATGCCCAAACTGGATTCTCCTTTCAACAGAAAGCCAAGGGCGCATCCAACAGGACCTACTCTTTCTATTATGTCTTCTCCTCCTTCTTATAACTAAAAGTGTAGCCTGGTCAGCCAAATCGATACAGTGCAGCTGAATTAAAGATTGCAGAAGTAGGTTTTGCTCATGTTTGTCCATGGTTGAACTAAAGGTAGAAGTTATTGCATCCGTTTTAAGCGTAATAAAGACATAGTGAAATCGGGATAGTCGCAGTGAAATCGTAGTAAGGTCGCAGCGAAATATTTTCCATTGGCTTCCCCGATTGCACCACGTTTCCAATACGATGCTACTATGCCCATCCCGATCTTACTACGTCTTTACTACGACCTTCCTACGCTTCTACTACGACTAGTTTTGGCCACGACTGCACTACGAACGTTTTGAGCATGTTCAAAATTGGTAGTTGACCTCCACGATCATGAAGACCTTGGCACGTCCTTACCACGACCACCACGGTCTTACTACGACTTCCAAAATTTTTCATAATTTCTGAGGTCGTAGCAGGATCGTGGTCCTAGTGTGATGGGGGTATAACGAATGACACCTTCTAGCTTGATAGTTTGTTTGCTTCTCTTTGATCGTTTGCCAAGAATCGTCTACATAAAAAGTGCATCATAGAGAAGTTGTCATGGTTCGTTTCTATTTTGTAGGAACATAAATACACGATAATTTTATTATTATGTTATTGTGCAAAAAAAGGCAAAAATAATGATGGCGGCTTTCAACTGATCTTACCATATTGTATATCTGTTCTAAGTTAATAACAGCATTAGATATACCAATTTACGAAGTATGTCCTAAGTATTGTCTAAACTATACATAGATAATGAGCACTGTTTTTACTTATCTGTACACGGGTTTTAATTACCTGTACATAAGAATTGTTCAAACGTGTAAACTAGAAGTAATTTAAATGTACATTACCACAACTAATTACTGATAATCACAGTAGGTATAGTGTCCGGCTGAGATGTGTTTTTTCGAGGGAATCGGTCCACTTTTTTCGAGTGTAGATCAGGTTTTTTTCGAGTGATAAAACATGCGATCAGATCGATTTACTGCTATTTCGCGAATATAATAGTTTTATTCGCGACTGTTCATCTTATTCTGAATGCTATACTTGTACATGTTTTGAGCACAAACGACGCACAATTTCCGTGTAGGTCACTCATAATTCAGTGTTTTATATTGTCCGTGTTTTCTCGAGAGCAACATCTCAAACGACAAATGGTCCGGGTTTTTTTAAGAAAATGTAAATAAGAAAGAATACAATCTTGGGCTAAAAAAATGACTTTTTCTTGTTTGGAACTGTAATTTAGAGAAGGACAATATTATTTATTCTTTATAAGTCATAAAAACATATTACTTTAATGATTAATTTAACCCTTTTCAATTTAATGATAACTTTCTGTTCTGAAAACATAATTATTACCATAACCTTGCAGTGTTACGATATATAAAAAATCACTGGGTCCTTTTTAAAACCGTCTGTAGAACCGAGGAGAGGAACTCATAATCTTTTCAATTTCATTTCATGCTACCTTTGCTTTTACTGTCAATGATATTTTATGGTTGATATATATATTACAGTGACGAAAAAACATAAGAGCAAGAAAACTAAGGAAAAGCATTAAACAATCAGAAAAATTCAATATAAACCCAAATATCCTATTGAAAGAGGCTCCCCCCCACAAAAAATACAATAACAGTTGAATTGACTAGAATATCTAATAAAAAATAAAAGAACAGAGTTCCAATGTCCCCCGCGTTGCACATATTTTATCTATCCAAGGTACAAGGGCAATGACTAAACAAAGCACTTTAAAACTTTTTATTTATATCTTAACAGAAATGAAGGCTTCAGAGCAAATGCAATGTGATTTCCATTATAATTAATATTTCCAAGGGGCATAACTTGTTAAAACTATTTGATCAGAACTTATTTTCGAAAGTGTCAAAGATTTTGCTGATATAAACCTATGATAAAAGTTTCATAAAAATCTGGCAAGAATTGAACACATGAGAGTGCTAACGATGCAATTTTCCATATAATCAATGTTTCCAAGGGGCATAACTCTTTTAAAAATAATTGATCGGCAATGATTTTCGAACTCGTCCAAGACATTGCTAATATAAACCTATGATATAAGTTCCATAAAATTCTGGCAAGAATTGTACAAATGAGAGCGCTAACGATGCAATTTTCCATACAATAAATGTTTCCAAGAGGCATACCTCTTTTAAAAATAATTGATCGGCCCTGATTTTCGAACTCGTCCAAGACATTGATAATAAACCTATGATATAAGTTTCATAAAAATCTGGCAAGATTGTACACGTTAGAGCACTAACAAGACTGGAAGGACAGACGCACGCACGAATAGACGGACGCCCGGTATTTCTATGTCCCCCGTAACGCGTTGCGCGAGGGACAACACTTTATAAATTGCATGCGTCCGAAATGCTTTTCCGATTGACTTTCATCCAGAACGCCCAAAGCCGAATATTTGAAAGCCAAGGATACATAAGAACCGAAACATTTCAAGAGCTATATGACCAAAAGGGCCTTAAAAATAGCCTAATCCATCTAAGGTCGCTTTTGCCTGATGGAGTTGAAACTTTAGTTTCTTTATAATTTTTAAATTTATAAACGGACAATTTTAAATGATTGACTGATGGTTGCTCAACGTCCAGTGGCTAATATTTCATGCATGTTCAAGACGAGAACCAATTAACAATAAATCCAATATTTAGGTCCTGTAACAGAGGACGTTCGGGATCTCTTCTCCTTATTTTTCAATTGAGCTGCTATGTCCCCTCCCTAAATTATCGTTTTATTTTTGTAATACTATGAAATTGTTTCTGCACAAGATCCTGCTGCCATTATCTATACTACTAAAATAACGAGGTTCAATTGTTAGCCGGCATGACGTAAAAAAGACGAATCAAAGAATTCAACTTCATATATAACTAATATAGGACAATGGTGTTGTTTAAAAGTTACACCATTCAAGGCCCATTTGTTTTCGTCATAATTAATATTACCAATAATTAACAAGTTCCGGGTCGAATCCGATACCGATACCAACAGTATATGTCACATGTAGATTCCGTTTGTAACCTGTTACCTTCTTCCAGTAGTTGTTTTATATTTATTTTACACTATAGACACTATTTTACGCGTCTGTTTTCTACTACATCAATACAGAAAGATTTTGAAAGCAGAGAAAACTGTGCACCGAACAATCAGCATGACTTTATTAGATGACAATACGAATACTAAAAATTCAGGCTAAAAATAAAGCATAGGTACTTTATTTATTTCACTTGTGTTTTATAATTCATTAATGTATCAGTTTCTGGGCGTGTCCACTCAGTTCTGGAGGATATTTTAGAGATAACTTTATTGTATTTCAGTGAAGCTTTGTGGACGTCCATCGGTAGTTTTACTGTCGCAAATTTAGTTTACCTGGCGAGTCGTAGCGGAAAATAATTTCCAATGTTTGATTATTAAAGACGCCTTTTTAAACTGTTAATGTTAATTTCTGTTAATGTTATTCCTGCTTCCAAAAAAAAAAGTGTTCACCAAATAAGTGACCATAAGTTACTCATTGGAAAAGGTAGATATCAGACAATACCAAGAGACCTATAAGAACATATCTAACTTGTAAATACAGATTCCTTTATAAAACATTCTTAAGAACAGAAGGAAGGGGACTGTTATAGGTCTTTTTGCCTGTATATATATGTATATTCAAATTAGTTATTTTTAATTTTTTGTTATCATTTGATTTTTGTCACAAGAAAGGGATGGGGGTACCTGATTAGTGATTTTGTGATAAGTGATTAGGCAAAAAAAAAAGAATGTCCGGTATACTTTACAGTTTGTATTTGCGATTACAAAATTATGCATTTATGGCGATATACTTTCTTTGAAGCTTTAATTTATATTTCTTGCGGACTTTTTGTTTTTTTGAATGTTCCACTGAAATTATGCACATATTAATTTATTAACTGTTTGTAGTTCAAGAAACGTAAGTAATCACCTTTTTTTTTTATTCGTGATTGTAGGTGAAAGACAAATCAACAGACAACCTGCAGAATATTTCCAACACAGACCTGCTATTATCCACCTTAGTTGCTAGTTTGGGATTAAAGGTCTTTCAATGCCTTGTGTCAGCTTGCTTCCATGTGCCTAATATTTTCCCAAATGCAAGCTCAATAATTGCAAAGATAGTGAATGTTCAGGACAACAACTGTATATCTCCAAGTGAAGTGACTCAGTACTCCTCCTTGATCCATAAGATTAATGATATGACAGATTATCTTCATCTTTCTGACAACATTTTATGGAAGTGCCAGTATAAATACAAAGAACCATTCCACAAGTTCCTGGTTCCACCAGTTAGTGACTGCCTGCAATGCCAGGGAACACTGTACACTTTCAATGTTACAAATGTGACAGTTTTCACTTTGGAAGGACCACTACCAGCTCGCAAGTTAACATTGCGTTGTAAGAAAGGTTGTGGTGCCACCTACTCCATTGATACATACAATAGTTCAAGTACCACCAAGTTTTATGACTTTCCAACAAAATGGATCGGTGCCTCAAACAAAGTTTTTCTATCCGACGCAGTGCATGAGCTGATGTGTGAATCTGGGTAAGTCATTGACTTGTAATTATTTAGAAGTGGAACAGTTGCCAGAGTATTATGCTGAGCTGAGAGTTGAAATAATACATAACTTAAGTATTAGTTGACTAAAAATGTTCAATCATTCTAGGCAAGCAATCACCACACTTATTTATATATATATATATATATATATATAACCAGTCTAAAAGGGTGCAACATCACCAAAAAATGACAATAAACAAACAAATGTAACTATAAATATTTCGGATAACAGATATCCATGTTATCCGAAATATTTATAGTTACATTTGTTCGTTTATTGTCATTTTTTGGTGATGTTGTACCGTTTATACTGGTTATATATTATATTTTGTAGTGTACTCTATCCTATTTATATGATCCATTGCCCCGTAAGATTTATCGTTGGCTATTATTCAGTCATTTTATATATATAAATATATATATATACAAGTCTAAATTGAAAACAACGTTCAAACCTATGATTGCGTTGGATAAAAACTGCACTTTTGATACGTGTGCATGCAAAACAAATTTCTTGTTAGAGGGGTCTAAATACAGCACAAACAACATTTTCCAAAAGACCAAAAAAGTGAAATATATATATATATATATATATATATATTGGGAATATCAGGTTAAAATTATTGTGCTATATTTTTATGCACTTTAAAATGCCATAAGAAATGTTGAAACACATACTAAATCATAAGGAGAAGTATACTTTAAATATTTTAAGGCAACATTAATGTCAGTTTTACAGAGTTCTAAATAAAAACCAATTTTTTTCAGGAACCATGCATTTGTTTCCCATCATGCATTCAGTGAGATATATGCCTCAGTGTTCAATGAGACTGCCAATGGGATAAAATACATGGAATGGATTAAGGAGTTTGCTAATCAAGGTAAGACAGTCAATTTAGATATTTGAACATAAATGAAGACATAGTATTTCAGATATAATTTTTCAGGACATGAAATTATGGTTAAATGGTATGGTAAAATAATTTTCCTCTACTTTCTGTTATCTGTACAATTTTGGGGCAGAAATGAAAGGAGTGTTAAGTTCAATCTGATGTATTCACTAGAAGACCTATGGACTGCAAAACAATTTGGCAAACAAGGTGATTTTTTTAGGAAAGTATCGCAATATGGAATATTGTATTACTTAACTCCACCTAGATATTCTCAAAAGGGTGTACTTCCAAAAATAGGTTTGAGCTTGGCACAACCTTAATTACACAAATATATTGTACAACTGGGAACTATTCTTGTTTAATTGTTATATGATATAACATTTTCAGCTTCTGATGTTGATTCTCCAGAAGATTCAACGCATGAAGACATAATAGATGATGATGACCATAGTAATGATAGAGGAGGTAAATTTTTAATATAAGAGCAACGAATTAAATCCAGATTTTTTTGGTTTTTGTCAGTTTATTGGTTAAACTGATTTACCTGATATATTAATCTCAGTTACAGTCATCAAAGAAATTTATTATACCTCAGTTATTATCTATATAAAAAAATATGAAATAGTTGTGCTATTTCATTCCATAGAGTCTTTGCCAGTCACTAGCTTCAAAGAATATAACCCTGGTTAATAGTTTTATAATCATATGTCCCGTACTTTTTCATGCTTATTTTCCAATGGACAATAATGACGTCATTAACTATTCTGCTTGGATTTTGTGTGCTTGGCAACGTCAAGCTCTAATATCGACAACGGTATAATACGTTAATCTAATAATGATTGTTTTGTTCAGTATAATAAAACACCTAATGACTGGTTGTGCTGGTAATAGCAAGTTTGTTGTCCCTTCACATACCAACTATTGCCCTCCACCCTCGCCTTGAGCAATAGTTGGTATCTCCGGGATAACAAACTTGCTATTAACCTCACACCAAGTCAATAGGTGTATAATGTTTTCTTTGAAACAAATAAATGAATGAACATTATTTTAAGAATTGATGTATACAATAGTAATCAGTTTTGAACTCCCAGTTTTACTAATACCATATGTCTGGATTGACAACATATGCATTCTATTAGTACCATCTTTTTTTAAAGTAAATTTTCATTATAAATGTACTTAAATTTTTTTATTTATGTTTCAGGGAATGGTAATTCTACCTACCAGCAGTCTTTGACTAGGAAGCAGGCCATGAGTGCCTATTTGAATGGGGAACTTGCAAATGAGCTGCGGCAAAGAAATATGTCTTCAACATTAGGAATGACCAATAAGATGTCAAGAGAACTTGTGATGCAGGAGATAGACAAGATGCGAAGACAAGAGCATTATCCCCATGACCCAAAGCATTGTACTGATGAATGCAAGAAAAAAGGTATGTCTAAAAGTTGATATATATAATTTTGGAAAAGAATTAGGTATTAGTTAAAAAACAAACTTAAAATTTTTATCAGTTTTGAGCTCCTTTTCTAGATAAATGATTTGTAAAAAATGGCTGGAAAAGGCTGACTTGGACTGTAACGTTATATTAACCATTTGATTATTTGGGTCTCAAATTAAAAGAAAAGAAGTAAAGAATCTGCTTAAAATTTTGTTAGTGACCTTATATGGGCTTTTAAGTCTTTTATTAAAAGATAAATGGATGTTACAGGGCAAGTTATTGTACCTTGTATCGTAGGGGAAATAACCGAGTAATCTGAACATCTATCAAAAATTCCAAAACCTCTGCCAAGTACAATGAAATGACTTCAATGACATTCATGAGCCTGCAAAAAGCATTTAATTTTCAAGAATTTTTTATTGAATTTACATTAATATTTTTAGGATTCCAAAAAGTGTTATTGTTGTGATGTTGACATATTTATTAGATTGTTGTTGACCTTCTAGCAGCATATTAATAATTGATTTTTTTTTTACAGGTTGTGAAAACTTGAGAGTTATTGATGGGTGCTGGAAAGTTTGCATGCCCCATTGTATGTTTGCCATGGAGATGGAAGTTCAGGGATTCCCCCTTTTGAATTTCCCAAATGTGTGCACGTCTGAACCGAAACCTGGATCTGTGTTTTGTGCAGACCACTACCAAATTCTGAAAGACAAGAACATACCCACACAGAAAGAAGATTTTCTTCAATTCATAGGATGTAAGAGTAAGTAATATTCGCCTAAGAAACCAGTTTTAAGCAGTTGCTGTAAATATATAAGATAAATCACATTTCTTTTCTTATTGTGGGTCAGCTTGGCAGGTGTTGACTGTTGAAGTGGTGAGATTTTTGCAATAAAACACTCATTATTTCTTAGTTATATTTTACCCTAAGGAATGTCTGAATATTATTTGTTAATTCTTAATTTCTGTATCATGTCATAGTGTATATTATAAATGTAAGACTTCTCACTTGAACGTTTCAAACAAATCAAAAGTGATTGTGAATGCCCATTGTTCAATGGGTTTAGACGTTACATATTTGTGTATGCATTGTTCAACAGTTATTGAACAAAGTCGGCAAATCTGAAAATAAACAAGCAAAGAGCCGGAGAACAAGCATTCTTTACATTTTGGATACAGTTTTTGTAATTTAAGAAAAAGGAGTTATAGAGGTGTCTGTTAATACAACACTAACCATTTTGGATCCGACTTGTAAAATTTGTGAATCCTATGATTTGGTGATATGTTGTAAGGGGTTCTCATTCCGCTTCTAGTTGCCATAATAGTGCATGTTATCTCCCTTGTCCTAAAGGGACAGCGTTTCCCGTTTTGCTGCAGAATTATTCAACTTATATGTCACATTTACAAAAAAGAAGGGCAATCCCGCTTCACGTTTAGACCCCAATGAGACCCCCTTGTAACCATTTTTGATTTTGTTTTCCAGAGAATCCCAGTTCAACAGAAGACATCAAGGCCGTTGATGATAAGATAAAGGACTTTTCAAAGCAGTTAGCATCATCAACAGTAGGGGTGTCATCTCTGAAATACCAGAGTAAGTTGAATGTGTACTTTTTTAAATGAACGAAAACATCTGATTTATACCGATGAATTTTGAACTCACTGCCTAATACTGCAGACTTCAGACTTTAAATACCTTCATCATTAAAACTGATTAACAATTGAATGTAACTATGAAGTTGTGGTTTAAATGGGAATGAGGCAATTCTCTGTAACTGAGATCCAATGTTATGTAGGGAATCCTTTTGTTGTCTTGTATAACCATAACATGTATTTTTAGCACCTACTACAATTAGGTAAACTTTTAAAAAGCCTCAGTAGACAATTTACGTATAAAACAATTCAGGTCAGATTTGTCAATCAAACAAAATAAGAAAAAAATTGCATACGTCTTGAGCATCTTCAATTAAAATAGTACAATTTTGTTTCTGGACAAATGGTGTGCATTTCTCAATTTTATGTGGGGGTTTATATGACATAACTTTCTAAGTACCAGAACGTTTTTGTGTTCAGATTGCATGGAATCACAATTTTACATGTAGTGTTGATCTAGATATATATATTGTGATTTGAATATTTCTTATCAAGGTCACAACTAATTCAGATTTTGGTGACCACCAAGCAAAATCAAGAATTAAGTTTCACTGCTGTTTGAAATACACTAAAAAGTTATGATTTACTAATAAGGAAACATTTATTGTGTTTTTTTTCTTCACAGAATTAACAAGGTATCTCTTTATTGAAACTTACATATAAGTAGAATAACCCAGTATGATAGATTAATTGATTGACCTATATGAAATGTGGATATGTTTGTATAATAACAAGTTGTACCAATTGTATTTCTATCAGACACAGAACAAATTGTTAGCAAGGTGAGCCCTTCGGACTGGCAATCAACCTCAACAGATACTGTATGCAACAAAGACACTGGTGAAAAGGCACGGCTAAGACAAAGGAGCAGGGGCCATTTCGTATGTGTGACCGGAGGAGGGCACATTCAATATTTTGAGCCTTTATTCAAGTAAGTTAACCTTATTTAAGTTAATTATTGTAATCATTACAGAAAATCAAAAGCTGTTGCCAGCAATTCAAAAGTACTGGTGGTGAGGATAGACATCAAATATTTTAAGTCATATGAAAAACAAAGGGGAGAATCCAACACCCAGCCACTGCCTCATTTCTTTACAGCACTGGAGGGAGAAGGAGGCTCTTTTTTATGAATCTGCACACAATAAAAGCATTTGGCCTTGTTGTAATGAGTTGAAATTATAAGAAATTCAGAAATATATATAAATACTAATAAGACATTTTATCTCAACCCATAAATTATATTGAAAAATGTATTGTCATGCCAGACATTTTTATAGAGAACATTATCAAGGCACTTTCCAAAACTGAACTAAGTAAATCAAATGTACGAATTGTAACTTCAAACTGTTATGTATACATTTGAGTTGAATTTCTATGGTCTACATGTGTGGCATAGGAAGAAAATTTTCAAAATGTGCTTGTTTACTTCTGATTTAGTACTATTTGTTATACTGTAAATTTATAAATAATTATGACGTTTATTTTATTGCAAAAATTACTACATTGTTACTATCGCATTAATTTCAACTTACATTTTGAAATTGCTTATATGATTTAAACATGATTTTTCCAGAAATTGCAAGAATCAAAATGTGCATTTTAGTCTAAAAAGGACAAATGCATCAGAAAATTTATGAATTTACAGTATTACAATTTTACTAGCTTTTGAATGGACCAGTGATGCGCAATTTAAAATAACAGATTCTTTTGTTACTGTTTTTCTCAGTTTCCGAAAATAAAAGAATCCACAGTAATATAAAAGTTTGGTTATCAATAGTTCTATTCATGCAATGTGATTACCAAGGCAATAATGTGAGTTGATTAGATTTGGTGTATGAATTAAGTGCACAAGATTATTTAGAGTCATGATTTATCTTATGACATTTACAACAGAAAACCGTATTCCATATTTCGGCTTTAATATTGATTCACTTGTATGGTCCTTGCATTGGAATTAAACACATTTATTCTAAAACCAATTGTTGGCAGGACACGGATTATCATCAATTGTTCTTCTCATATATTTTATGATGGTATAATACTGAACCCCTAAAGGTCTGGATCACATTCTCCATTTCCATTCTCAATTTTATTCCAATTGCATTATTGTTAAACTGATATTTTTCTGAATTGGAGAACGTAAATGCAATATAATAAAAAGTATGAATTTAATGTCTTGGACTCTACACTATTTATTGGTTTTTAGAAGACGTTATTTAATATTTCTAATCCATTTGTCTTATTTGAACAATGCATGGACTGCTATGTTTGTTTTACACAATTATGTTTACAATATGTACTTTAATGGTATGAAATTTATTTAACTTATTTCTAGGTCAGAAGGACCGTGCCAGGTATTCATGATTACCATAAGAAGTTTGTTGCTGGAGCTGAGTACAGTGCCAGAAGATCAGCTTGAGGCAAGAATGGAGTCTTTAATTTTAGCATACGACAACATGTGCCACCTTGACTGCATCAAAGCAGCTAAAGAAGACTTGCCATTTCCCGCCCCTCTTAACAAGCTATGGAAGACCATTAAGAAGGTTGTTGACCGGTTACATCTCCAAAACCACAAGGATGCCCGGTGTAAAGTGACCTATGATCCGTCAACAATCCCGGAAAGCTACAATACCATGATAGCTGAGCAGACCTTTTCTTGGTTTTCCCGGTTTAAAAAAATCGCCAATTCGATGACACAAACCCACCATCTGTTCTATATTCACAGACAAATTCAGAGGCGTAATAAGTACTCTGGATCATGTCGTCTGCGTGGTAAGGCACCACTTTTACCCGGGATCAATATTACTTTGCAGAAGAAAGCTATTAAAGACTGATGAACTGTGTTAATGGATACAATTTTGTAAATAATGTCAATTTGTTGAAGGCTTTATTTATTGAGGGCATATCCAGTAGTTCTTTTTTAGATATGTTTTCCAGATTGTTAACAAAATTCAAATACCATAATGAATTTGTATTTATTACTTCACTTGTTTTATGTACAACAGAACAACACCATTTACAAGTACTTGGTGATTTCCTTTTTTGTTAATGAAAATTTTAAATCTTAAATTCATCAAGTAAATAAGACATCTTGAGAAATATTTAAATATTTAGCATATATCATGGAGAAACAGCAATAAAGTGTTGAATTTCGGACAATCTAATAATTAAGATTTGAACCATGATACTGTTAATATTGCATTCTGAAACGGAACCTAAACTTGAGGCTGTATTTGTTAAACAAGAATTATCTGTTGATCTTTCAAAGTCTTTTCTTTTGATATTGTGACACATCAAATTCCCAAATAAATAATTAAGTTAAAAATGTAAAAACAAATGAAATGAGTATTATTTTATTTACTTTTATTACGTTATCAAATTTACACCATTTTTCAACTAGACAAAAGGTCCCTTACCAATATATCTTATAACAAAATATTATTATATTTGCTTCAAACCAAGTATAATGATAAATAAGTGTCTGAGTAACAGTCAGAGAATATTGTTGGATATGGCCTTCACAAAATACTATAGTGCAATTGTTGAGGTATATAAGCATGTAATGGTAACTTGAGTTTTAAGTCACTTCGGTTAATACTCATATAGACTGTCTTCCTCTTTCATATCAGAATGTCTTAATATAAGAAATAGTGAAGTAATATGATACATCAATATGTAACTTTTCATTCTATCATGACATGTTATCATGTAACTTTTTATTCTACCATGTCAATTAATATAATTATATGTATGCAATAGGTCTTTAAACCATTTATTGTTAATGAGTTTGTGCGAATAAAAATATTTTTATTTGTATATCCCAACATGCTGTATTTCCTAGTGCAGATAAATAATGTAAGTGGTAGAGTTAAGTCCCTTATACATTCATGAAATAAATGATTGCCTTTTTATTCTAAAATTTGCTTGTAAGCCTTGCTTTAATAGCTCTAGTGAAAGTGTTCGTCTTTGCGGTTGTATGATCAACTAGTTATTTTGAGGGATATTGAAAATATGACATCCAACTGCATCTCAATCACATGCCTCAATGCATCACTAGTTTAAGGCAAGGCCCATCTGTTGGTTCATTCAAAATATGATACCCATATATTTGAGAAGTGAAATGTATGTAATCACACAGATATAAAAGGAAATTGCATAAATATTTTTTTTTTGTACATTTTGTAAGTACTGGTAGTTTTAATGCAGTTCTTTTAAGTGTAGGTGCATGTTTTAATTAACTGATAGATGACTTTTAATGAATGAATGAACTAGATTCGATCTTTACTATAAAATGTTCTGATATAATACATGTACTACTATGAACAATTCATATATTTATATAAGATTAATCACCAATTGTTCACTTAGGCTAAACTGAAGGACTGACCTGTGTAAAAAAAAATGAAAGGTTTAACTTAACATGAGCTTGTACAGTGATAGCATTGCTGGGTGTGAAATTATCATTTAATAAGGAGATTGTATTACTTTTTATGAATTTTTAATTTACCATTACCATTACCATATCTGGATATTGAGTTCAACGGGCTAATACCAATTTTGTAACAAATGCTGAATAAAAATGTGTGGTATATTAACCAGAAGTATACTGAACATCCTGATTTTTCTTTAATTAGTAATGTTAGAAGCAGTCCTAATATGCAGATTTTTATGATGATTTTATAAAAGATGCTTTAATCTGCAAATACAAATAACATTCTTCCTCAATGTAAATATCAACTGTATTGTTTATTATTGTTATTTATTCTCCTTATGCATTTTGCTGAATGTAATTTATATATATATATACGTAATTTATTCCAATGAAGAAGGTCATTATGGAAAATTGTGTTATAGTTTTTATTTTATTTTATTTATATAAATATATATATATATATGGCCTTCCAAATAACCTAACATCATTGAAGAGACATTTATTGTCGAAATCAAATCTGGATATGGTGTACAAATTTTTGCACCTCATGTTTGCGGTTTACCATCTTCTCAGCAAGTTTATTGTTTTCTGTTTGGTATTGAATTAAGAATTAAGATCCATGTTATATCTCATGACCATTTTTTTTGGCAATCATTAATGGCAGTCAGCATGGGTTAAGAACAGAAGTTGTTCAACATGTTAGTCAACAGCGTTTTGTTCAACTATACTTTTCACTTTTTTGTTCTTTTGGAAAAATGTTGCTAGTGCTTTATTCAAACCCCTCTACCAAAAATCTGTTTTACATACACACATATAATAATAACGGTTTTCATGAAATGCAATCATAGGTTTGAACGTTGTTTTCAATTTAGACCTTATATATATTTAGATATAGGAAAATGTGGTATGAGTGCCAATGAGACAACTCTCCATTCAAGTAACAATTTATAATAGTAATATGTAAAATCACAAAAATACTGAACTGTGAGGAAAACTCAAAACGGAAAGTCCCTAATCACATGGCAAAATCAAATGATTAAACACATCAAACGAATGGACAACAACTGTCATATTCCTGACTTGGTACAGGCATTTTCAAATGTAGAAAATGGTGGATTGAACCTGGTTTTATAGCGCTCTCACTTGTATGACATTAGCATTAAATTCCGTTATATTTACAACGATGCGTGAACAAAACAGACATAATAGGTAAAATAGTCACAATATGGGTACAGCAGTCATCATTGTGACACAATCTCCAAACAAACAAATATTAAACAAGAAAGCACAAAAAAGTAAAATCACAAAAATACTGAACTCCGAGGAAATTCAAATCCCTAATCAAATGGCAAAATCAAATGATAAAACACATCATTATAGGTCAAGGTATGGCCTTCAACACTGAGCCATGGCTCACACCAAACTGCAAGCTATAAAGAGCCCATAAAATTACTAGTGTAAAACCATTCAAACGGGAAAACCAACATTTTCATCTATATTAAAATGAGAAACGAGAAACACTTATGAACCACATAAACAGACGACAAGCACTGAACATCAGATTCCTGACTTAGGACAGGTGCAAATAATAGCAGTGGAATTAAAAGTTTAATGGTACTAAACCTTCTCCCTTTTCTGAAACAGAAGTATAACATCACAACATAGAGCCCCCCCCCCCCCCCCCCCTTCTGGGCAAAATTTGGTTTATTTTATAGGGAATCACTGAAACTTGACCGGAGCTGGTCCCCTCTTAGGCAGTCAGTGTGCCCCTACTCGTGAAAATTTCTTGATCCGCCACTGATATTTGCATTTACAAAAGTTTAAAAATTCATTTTTAAAAAAGGAAGATGAGGAAGATGACAATTTATGTAAAGGGAAAAGTCATGATCAAGTAATAAAAAAAGGCAGGACAACCACCAAATAGAGTGAAAAATAAAAAGGCAGGACAGAGATTATAATTAACAAAAACAAGAGTTTTTTTCATAGTTCCACCCAAATATGAAATTATATGGTAGCCCCATAGTATGAGGTGAAAAGTTACACCAAAAAATCAAAATATTTTGGAACAGAAAAAGGAGCATAGAGATAAGTTAAAAAACAATGAAAAAATAAACTAGTCAAACATATTAATGAGCTGCCAAAAGAAAGCTGTTGCTTTCACTAACAAATCACCACTGTTACCCTCATGCCATCATTATAATTATCATTAAAGACTCGATCCGTACGGACGATTTATTTATTTAAACAGTATATCGGTAAACTACGGAACTAATACCGATTTACCGCGTAACCGATTTCTATTTAGACACCTGCGCAAGCAAGCGCAGATCATCTCTCTTGAAACGGCGTATCTGCGCATGCTCAGATCGATGTTTATTTGGTGTACCTCGAAAGTTTACTTAATAAATAACTTTCCACACAGATCCGTCGACAACCTTTCATTTTTACCCGTTTAAAAACAATTGGTAGTCCGGTACGTTTCGTGTGACACAAACATTACGTGGTTCACAAACGTGTCGCTAAAATTGTCCCTGTATGGTAGGCACTGGCTGTAAGCGAATTTCCCGTACAAAAAATAAAAAATTAAACAGTGTAACCCTCATCCCTAGTCAAGTTACCATTGTAATCAGACTTTTCCGTGCATGTAACCAGTGTAACCTGACTTTCCCATGCATGTAACCATTGTAACCTGATTCCCCATGTATGTAACCATTGTAACCCGACTTTCCCATGCCTGTAACCATTGTAACCCGACTTTCCCATGTATGTAACCATTGTAACCCGACTTTCCCATGCCTGTAACCATTGTAACCTGACTTTCCAATGCATGTAACCATTGTAACCAGACTTTCCCATGCATGTAACCATTGTAACCTGATTCCCCATGCAAGTAACCATTGTAACCTGATAAGTTACCATTGTAATCAGACTTTTCCGTGCATGTAACCAGTGTAACCTGACTTTCCCATGCATGTAACCATTGTAACCTGATTCCCCATGTATGTAACCATTGTAACCCGACTTTCCCATGCCTGTAACCATTGTAACCCGACTTTCCCATGTATGTAACCATTGTAACCCGACTTTCCCATGCCTGTAACCATTGTAACCTGACTTTCCAATGCATGTAACCATTGTAACCAGACTTTCCCATGCATGTAACCATTGTAACCTGATTCCCCATGCAAGTAACCATTGTAACCTGATTCCCCATGTATGTAACCATTGTAACCCGACTTTCCCATGCCTGTAACCATTGTAACCTGACTTTCCCATGCATGTAACCAGATTCCCCAGGCATGTAACCATTGTAACCTGATTCCCCATGTATGTAACCATTGTAACCCGACGTTCCCATGCCTGTAACCATTGTAACCTGACTTTCCCATGCATGTAACCATTGTAACCTGACGTTCCCATGCCTGTAACCATTGTAACCTGACTTTCCCATGCATGTAACCATTGTAACCTGACTTTCCCTTGCATGTAACCATTGTAACCTGACTTTCCCATGCATGTAACCATTGTAACCAGATTCTCCATGTATGTAACCATTGTAACCTGATTCTTCATGTGTGTAACCATTGTAACCCTGATTCTCCATGCATGTAACCATTGTAACCCGTAATCAACTATTGTAACGTGACTGACTTGTGTAACCTCCCAGCGAGGAATAAGGGGTTGCCATGGTAACAGTGATGGAATAAAGTAGTCTTGCATGTGTGTAACCAGTGTAACCATTATGTCAATGGGGGTTACAAAACAAGGTAACTGAATTATGGTGCACATTTTGTGCCTTGTATGTTTCCCGATGTCAACAAACCATGCAAAACGTTCTACAAAAGCCACAAAACAGGAAATACGTACGGTCAGGACTACAGAGTGGTTTGTTCATTTTTCACATAAAAAGGACAGAATTATACATGATATATTAAAGCATAACATAAAAAAAAAAGAAAATATAAATATTGACTTGTACGACGGTATCTGGTGCGTTCGCTCCAAAAACACATTCTCACCCTGCACGTTCGCCCCTTGGATCCGTTCGCACCCTATTTTCATTTAAATACTGGTTGAATATATCAAAAGATGTCTTTTAGATGTATTAGTATGATATATGAAAATATTTTGCCAATGACGCAATGTTTAACCGTAAACAAAGGATAGCGATGTAAACTGCATGTCACCTTTCGGCTTTCAAAAACGTTGTTCAAAGTAAAACCCGTATAGTATGATGATAGTATAACGGCATCGGGATTCATCTGCACGCTATATAAAATAATAAATAAATGAAAAATAATTAATAAGCTTTATTTAGAGTCGGCAAAGTGTACAAACAGAGTCAACATAAGCTTTTAACCGTTTTATCCGTTTGGCGTTTTATAACATTTTGTTACTGTCATAAATCTCTTTTTTACTTGAAATATCTTCATTTCCAAGTATTGCTGGGATCTTATTCCGGAGTATGTGAAATATTTTCCCACTGCAAAATTTTGATAATATATATAGTTACGTATTTTTATTTGCCAAAAATTTTTGAACATAACAATTCCGGAGTATGGGAAATATTTTAACACTGCAAAATTTTGATAATAGTTAAGTATTTTTTATTTTCCAAAATTTTTTTTGGACATTACAATTTTCAAACAAAGACTAAATACTTGACAGTCACACATAACATTTTAATTTAAAGATTTATATACTTTATCAAATAATGGGCACGAAAATATCTAACAAATTTTCTCGTATCATGATTCTATGAAATTTGGAACTCTAGTACTATAACATGAGACTTCGGGGCCAATGTTTTCTATTTATAATATTTTCCTTTTACTTATTTTCTATTTTCTGTTGTATCTATCAATATGCCAACAGAGTTCGCATTAAAAAAGAAAGAGGAAATATCAGCGTAAAAACTAAAATAATTGATTAAGAATGAGTTATTATAATAGACTTACGGAACTCGAGCAACACATTTGTTGTTTTACGCAGAAAAAAAACGGACATTTCAATAATTTGCAGTTTTCAACCTTTGATCATGTAGATGAAAATTGGTCAATAGCAACCGGGACCTTACTAGTATTCCGGCCTTATATATCGGTATATGCTATTATCCCTCAATACCACATGCTTTGCGGCGCAAAATATTTGGCTTGACCAAGTCGGGATTTTGCCTAGGACACACATCCGCAGTCTACCGGGCAGTTCCAAACACTACCAGTTAAAGACAATATATATACACAAAATCTATACTACTTACTAGGTTCAGGAAAAGTTGGGATTGTAATTTTAAAACTCCG